CCTCTCTTTTTCCTGAACCAGTTTAAAAGTTGTTTATATTGGCTTCCAAATATGGTAGATCTATTAACTGACTACTCAAATTCCAAAAGAAATTAAGTAGTACATGTTATAAATTTTAAAATAAACATATAACAAATGTATTGAATTAAAATACATAGTGCTGTGTGGATTAGTTTTCCAGTTGTGAGAAATGATAACTATACTTTCATCTTTCCTTTATTTTGTTAGACATATTTCTTGGAATCAATTTGCTTTGTAAATTATTGTACTAGCTAGCAAGATACAAAATATATTAGTCAAATTTTCTATCCAGATTTTTGTGTTAGCACTATGTTATTGAAATGCTAAAATGCCCTAGGTTTGTACTTTCCTTGCTTTATTTTGTATGTATCCACTGTGCCAAATTTTTCTTATGTTCAGAAATAACAAATTGTATTGAAAGATTCTCCTTAGTACTTAATTTTCTTTTTTTAAAAAAAACAGTAACATTTACCTTTGTGCCTGTGTGAGATTCTGTTAGAAAACATGATACAGGACAAATTACCAAAGCTGCACGTATCTTTCCCAGTCACTGACTGTGGAATACTTCCCTCTGAAATAAAATGGAGACATTATTTTTCACTCCAAGGATTGTTGCTGGAGACCGTAATCTTGGGTTTTTATTGGTCCCGACTCCCCAGTACCTGGTGAGAGAATCCAGACTTTGAATAAGGCAGTGGGGAAATAATCCTGAGTGGCTTCCACATTTAACAACCCTCTGATGAAAGTTCTGAGGCAGAGCTTTCCGAGTTTTACGACTTTTATGAGGAGACTCCCCTGATGGTCTCCTCCAGCCATCAAGACACTTAGCTCTTAGCTCTTAGAGGCTCTTTGCTCCCTGAGATGATATTTCTGGGTCTCTGAAATAGGGAGAACATCCTCCTCTCTTAGGACACTCAGGAGCTGCTCTGAGGACAAGATCTGCTTCTGGGGGAAAGGCCCAGGATCAATGAAAACTACAGGCTGTTTTCTTTTGATGACCCTCTTTCCAGAATCTCAGCCCAGTGGCTCCCGTGGGAGGTGGGAGGTCCAGAGCTCTCCTGTGCACACCTGGTCTCCCTGAGGGGAGGGTGGTGAGGCTGAAGGTTTGGTTTGAGTCCCCGTGAGTCAGGGATCTGGTCTTACTCATTTCAGTAGCTCTTACCAGTGTATTTGCTGCTTACTAGCTGTCTGATCACTGACAAGTCAATAAACCATTCTAAGCTTCAGTTTCTTCATTGGTAAATAGGATTAATAACTTTACTTGCTTCATGATTTAGGTAAAATAATGCATATAAAGTCATCAGCAAAGTTCCTGACACATAGTAAGTGCTCAACACATGTTGGCTTCTATTTTATCCCTAAAATAAAGTTTAACACCCTTCCATATTCTCTGATTAATTCCCACAAAATCAGGTACTACTACAGAACAATAAGCATCTTTTCACTTCAGATAAACATCGTACATGCTTACAAATCAATTATAAAAGATAAACATCTCAACTGAAATTGGTCAAAAGGTAGGGATTTAACCTTTTTTTTAAAAAAGGTATAAACATGGTCTCAAATAAATAAAGTAAAACTAACAACAACAAAACAAGAGAAACCTCAGAGTCTAAAAAAATGGTACAACATTGGCAAATCTACCTTTACTCCTTTCTTCTTACTGGCTGTCTTGCTTGTAACATAAGGAGGCTATTCGTGTTTCTATGTTGGGTGAGGTAGGCACCCTTGTATACAAATCTAAAAAGTTACCCTAGAAGGCAGGTTGGCAAAGGTACCAGTATACCAAAAGATATACAAATGGTTAAAATCTTTCACTCAGTAATTTCACTGCTGCATACATGGTCAACACATTTGCAAAAAGGAATCTAAACATAATTGATCATATCAGTGTTATTAATATTAAAAAAGGAATTATATATATACATATTCAACATTAAAAAGTCAATAAATACTCTGCTAAATTCCATTCAATGAAATAGAATGAAGTCACTAAGATCAATTTAGAAGGATAAAACATGATATGGGAAATGCTTGTGAAATAGTAGCAGGAGAAAAGGTAGTGTAAAAAACTGCATTTGCAGTATAATTCTAATATTTCAGAATTATTTTTATTTATATAATGTAGCTTTTTAAAAGTAAAAAAATATATACTTTGAGTCATAGTAGGTGACTGTGGATTTTTTCTCTGTAATTTTTTGGTATTTTCTACAAAGAGGTTTCTTTTTAACAAAAAAAGAATAAAACGAAACAACAACAAAATAAAGAGCTTGACAAACACAAATCAAAACCTGGACCCAAACAAAAGACCCCATAGCCCTTTCATACTCTCTGTTATAAGTTATAATATACGTCTAATTAGGCCAATTGTAGGAGTGACCCACTCTATTAAAAATCATAGAATAGATGGCTTTGTAAATTTAATAAATCAAAATATCTCCACCTCAATTTTAAAAGAGGACATGGTTTCAGGAAATCAGCTTCATGTCTACATTCTCCACCTATAACAGAGGAGGCTCGATCCTCATCTTTTAGTGCTTCTCCTGTCAGGGTCCCTCCTGGCCCTGCTGCTCAGAATCCTAAGGAGCATGAGGAGAAATATGGGTCCAGACCCAGCACCTGCCACTCAGAAATGGCCATAGGATTGGCCTTCCTGGAACAATGGGGCCTGACCCTGGCCTGGCCTCCAGCCTCTGTCTCCATCCTGAAGCTTGTCAGCCTGCTCTTCAGCCTCCACTTCTCAGCATCCTCCTTGCCCCACACCCCTGTCCCACCTAAACCACCTGACCGGCTCCATGCAGACAGCCCTTATCCAGGCTGAGGCCCTGCCCACCTGCCAGCCAGGCCCCTTCCCAGATTATCCTGCACATCTTGGGGTCATTATTTCTAACTCAGCAGAAACAGAGGAGGAGATGGGCAATTCAACCACCTTGGGTGGAGACTCACACATGAAGCAGTGATGACACAAGCTCCCACCCCTTCACTACCTGGGCCCTTCTTCCTCCAGATCACAACTGCAGCCACCAGAGCTGCAACTACCACAGTTCCAAGGAGAACTAGGCTGCAATGATTCCCATGACGGGGATAGTGGGCTGAGGAGGTGGTTCTGGGAAGAGAAGGAAAGGTGAAGGGTTCTGACCCCAAGGCCTCAGCCCTGAACCTGCTGAAGGTGTCCAAAAGGGCCCCTGCTTTTCCTGAGAAGAGGCTCAACCCTCATACCTCTCCTTACATCATTTCAGGGTGAGGGGCTCAGGCAACCCCTCATGCTGCACAGGGCATGTATATCTCTGCTCCTCTCCAGAGGGCACCACCACGGCCATCCACTTCTGGAAGATTCCATCCCCTGAAGGTGTGGTCTCCACAAGCTCTGTGTCCTGGGTCTGGTCCTCTCAGTCCCAATGCCAGGTCAGGGTGATCTCCACTGGGTAAAAGCCCAGGGCCCAGCATCTCAGTGTAGCCTGAGGGTCAGAGATGTGGTGGTGAGTCACACATGTTAATGGTGAATCTGTGAAAAAGGGTCAAAGAGAATTCAGACTCTTTGAGACTCTTCCTATTATCCATTAAAGGGAGGTACATTTAGCTACCATGGGAATGGATAGGACAATTGGGGAGGGAAAATGAGAAAATCAATCATCAGTTTCATTCATAGGAGTCTATGAGGAAGTGCTATTTTAAAGCAGGTTCTGGCCCACACCTGTTGGGGGCTTCAAGTGTCAGTAGCAGGAAGAGGGCCTTTTGGTCCATCACAGATAAAGGCAGGGTCAGAAGAGCAGCAGGCCTGGGACAGAGGTTTAGGGCAAAGTCTGAAAGAAACAAACCCCACAGAGCTTAATCTCCAAGGCCAGATTCCTAAGAAACTGCTGTTCAATTATTTCTCTTGACCTTTTTTTTGTTTCTTTTTCCTGTTTTCCCACCCAAAGTTTCATGTTTCCTAAATGTCCCAGAAAGCCCTGGGTAGGGTAAAGGATCCAAAGATCCAGACTCTCAGCCTCCCTATCAGAATCCCATAAACTAGGGGGAGGGGTGTTGTCGGATGGGTCCCATCCTCCCTTTCTTCCTTAGGGACACCACAGAGGAACAGAGCCACCGCCGGGGAGAGGTCCAAGGAGGTTGCCCGCGCCCTCGCTCCCTTCACGCAGCAGCGTCTCCTCTGGTTCTCCAGTGATCTGTGGAGACGAGTCCACGCACCTGGCCTCCAGGGGGGGCCTGGAAGCTCCGCCGCCCCGGCCGCCTGTCCCTCCTCTGTCCTGCCACCGTCCCGGAGCACGAGTCCCCGTCAGGAAGTGGGAATCCACCCGTGGCCGGCGGAGCGCTGACACAGCGCAGGAGGCTCGGGTTCCCGCGCCCGCCGCTGACTGCGCCCCTGGGGTTGAGACCGCGGTTTGCTCGCCCCCTTCCTCCTTAAGACAGTCATTGGCTGGAGCAGGTGTTAGCTCGGCTCATATCTAAACTGGAACAAAGTGCAAACACTGGGGGCTCTCCCCTAGGTATGGGGATCTGACGGAGGTCAGGGACCACCTCGTGGAGGTCTTCCATGGAGACTAACTGCGCATCTTCCGCTTAGCCGACTTCAATGAACCGCCGTCACACAGGAGACTCAGCCTGATCTTCCTCCCAGGCTGCGCCCTGTGTGGTTCCTGGGAAGGTTCCCCATGTGTGTCCGCGTGTGCACGTCTGTATGCGAAGGTGGAGGAGGAGAAAGGAGGTGAGGGGAGGAAGGAAGGTGGGGAAGGGGAAGGAAGGGAAAAATCCAAAGGGGGTGGGATTCCCCCCCCCCCCCGACCAGGATGATCCTCTCTTCCTCCCTCCCCAAAGGCAGTTTCTTTCCCGACCCCACGGCACCCTGAGAACAGCAGGACCAGGACTTCCGAGAGGTGCAGGAGGGGGGTTTAGGTCACCGCGATCCAGCCCCGAGGCACCGTCGGAGTCGGGGGAGTGCGTTGGCTCTCTTTTGGCTCCTTCGTGAAAGGAAACTTCCTCTAACTCTGATGGACTCCTCTAGAACCGGATACCCAATGAAAACCGTCATTGAAGAGTGTCTTCGGTCTGCAGGCAGAACAACCTGAAAGAGATTGCAAAGGAAAAGTGAAACTTATACAAAAGCCCCACTTCGAGGGACTCCCGGGTGCTCATTCCCACTATGCCGCCCCCACACCCCTTTTGTCGTCCTCCGAATCCCAGATACCTCCTTCAATGCTGAGATCCTGAGATCCAAACCTGGAGACAATAGGAACCTTCCCGCAGCCCCCTCCTCTGCCACAGGGCATTCTTGCCAGCTGTCTCCCCAAGTGCTGGCTGAGACACACACACACACACACACACACACACAGACAGTGTGATGGTTAAGGTTGTGTGTCAATTTGGCTGGGTCATGAGTCTCAGTGGTTTGGCAGTTATGTAATGATGTAGTTTGACACTTACCTAAAAACGATGTAGTCAGCCTCTATGTGATCTGATGTGATCAGCAAATCAGTCCTAAGGGGGAGTTTCCTGGGGGGTGGTGATCTGCATCCAATATTTATATGGACTTTCTAGTAAAGCTTGCTCACATCCTGCATCCAGCTCGTCATCATCTGACCTCCATTTCTTGGGATTTGAGCCAGTGGCCTGCCATACTGCCTGCCAATCTTGGGATTTGGCAGTCTCTACAGCCTGTAAGCCAGCAGCCTGCCATCTGACCTGCATATCCACAGCTATGTCAGCTGGGAGAAGCTTCCAGCCTGATACTTGACCCAAAGGCTTGGGATTTGCCAGCCTGTACAGCTGCATGAGCCAAATCCCTGAGATAAATCTCTCTCTCTCTTTCTGTGTATATATATAGAGAAAACTTGCTTGACTCTCAGCCTACTCTTCTTCCTTTTCTAGAATCTTGCTCCCTGAGCTGGACTCTACTCTTCTCACTCTCTTACCTTAGGCTTCTCCCCCAGAGTCTGTTTCCCCATGGGCTTCTAGAAAGAAACTCATCTCACAGATCTCAAGCACAGACAATGGAAACTGTCAAGGACAAGAAACTCGTGACTGAAGGCTTCAGATAGGAGTTCACTTACAGGCAGATTTGTTTCATTATCTTTCTTTTTTTGTTGTTATTTCATTATTTTCCATTTTGATAATTACACACCCCAAAGAGTCAGGAGTCCAAGGCAGAGAAGGGTTTTGGCTACTTCTCACACATAAAACTAACCATCAGCTGGCTTCACAAAGCAGGCAGTGTTATTGGATTCACTTCATCTAAGAATAACATTTGTGTGACTTTGGGGTTGAAGCAAACTATAATTATCATTATAGCATACGCATGAATTAATCTATGTAGATCACAGACAGATCAAAATAGAGAGTGTCTCAGGAAACACAGCGTATTCACATGCTTTAATAAATAGCGTGTATAGATATTAACCAACATATGTTTTACATATATTACAAATATTAAAAAATGTCCCAACCAGTTCTAATGCTTTGTCTTTAGAGATATGTTTTTATAAAGACTTTGTTGTTGCTGTTAGGTGCTGTGGAGTCGATGCTAGAGCTCTCAGTCTGCTTTTGGTGTGTGGTGTGATTAGATCACTTAGCACGGGAGGGTCCAGGGTTCAGTCCTTGTTCCTTTTTCTTCTACAGCTAATCACTCTTTGGAGGTCTTATCCATTCTCAAGGCTTTAAATACCATTTATATGGTGTCACCTCCCACATTTATTTCTCTAATCAACATTTCTACTAATATCCAGACCGGTATATCCAACTGTCAACCTGACAACCTCACCTGCATTTCTAACAGACATCTCAGACTCAGTATTTCTTAAACTACATCCCTCTTCAGTATGCTCCTTCCAGAGTCTTCCCCATCTCCAATGACCCTATTTGCACATCCAAAATATTTGGTATGCTCATTGACTCTTCTCTTTCTCGTACCTCAAATTCAATCCATTAGGCCATCTAGCAAAATCCATCTTAAAAATATATCCAGAATCCAATCACTTCCCACAATTTTCATTTGTCACACTCAGGCAAAGCAATCAACATCTTGAATACTGTCCTAAATTCCTACTGTCTTGCTCACCCCTCACTTCTCAATTCTATTCTCAGACAGCCCCAGAATGATCCTTTTAAAAGAGAAGTCGACCATGTCTCTTTACTGTTCAGTACTGTTTTGTAACATCCCATCTCACCCAGAGTAGAAGTCAAAACTTTTCCAATATCCTCAGTCCCTACATGGTCTGGTAGCACCTTTGACCTCATCTCAATGACTCTGCTGCAGCCACTGGCCTCCTCGGACACAGCCCTGCCCTGGTGCATATGCACTGGATGTTCACCTGCCTGGAAAGATTATCCCAGACATCCTCATGGCTAATCCCTTCACGTCCTTCAAATCTTTCCTCAAAGGTCACCTTCTCAATGAGGCCCACGCTGCCTGCCCAAGTCCAAACAGCTGTCTGCCCTCTCCTCACACATCCACTTACTGGGTCACCTTCTCCATAGCACTTACCATCTTCTTACGTGAACACTTTCCTTATTTACTATCCATGGTAGGCTGAAAATGATCACCAAAGATGTCCACATTCTAATCCTTGGAACCTGTGAATATCTTACATTCTATGCAAAAGGAACTTTTGAAGATGTGGTTTAGTTTAGGATTTGAGATTAGGTAATTATCTTGGGATTATCTGGGTAGCCCCAATGATGTAATCACAGAGTCTTTATAAGAGGGAGGCAGGAAGGCCAAAGTTAGAAAAGAAGAGGTAAGGACAGAATCAGATGTCTGCATGGAGATTCTAAGCTGCCGGCTTTGAAGATGGAAGGAGGGGCCAAGAGCCAAGGAAGGTAAGTAAGCGCTGGAAGATGGAAAAGGCAAGAAAATGGATTCTCCCCTAGAGCCTCCAGAAGGAAGGCGGCCCTGTGGGCCCAGTTGAAACTTCTAATCTCCACAACTACAAGAGAATAAATTTGTATTATTTTTAAGTCACTAAGTTTGTGGTAATTTGTTATAGCAACAAAAAATTAATACATTATGCTTCTAGCCCATAGTGTATCTCTCTCTGCTCAAACAGATGCTCCATAAGTTGGCAATTTTTAATCTGTTTTTAATTCATGGTGTTTCCCAGATGCAAAAATAGTACGTATCATATAGCCAGAACTCAACAAATGTCAGTAGAATGAACGATCAGTGTGGTGTAGAGCACCTCCCGATTCTAAAGACAGTGTCTTTGTTAATGTAGCCTCAGATCAAATGCTGTTTTGTGGCAGCTGAAGCACAACATCCAATCACGTTGACATTAATGCCGCCTGTACATTTCTCACAAGGGCTGTTTCTCCTCTCTCCCTCTAGCCCATCTTCCCCACACCCACCCTCCTGCACACTACAGCACACAGTTATTTCCATCTTCATGAAAGAATGATCCTTGGCTGATGGGTACTATTTTACAGTAATTGTGGATTTAAGTTAGTTTCTGCTTTATGAATCCATGAGTATGAACTGGAGCCAGCACTAAGATTATAGAGGTAAGGTCAGGGAGAGAGACGCGGGTGAGCTGAAAAGGATGGAGACATAACAGAAATTTATCTAAGATGGCTAACTATTTGATTCCTCCTCTCTGAAAAAGGTTGGAGAAAAGATGACAAGACTTATCCACGGAACAGTTCTAGAAAGATGGTAGGATCTGGACGAGTCTGAAAATTCATCTCTTGTTACCACACAGACTGCTGTGTATAGGGGTCGTCCAGGCCTTGTGGGGACAATGACAAAGTGACTCTTGCAGCTGTCAGAGATGGGTGACAACCAGAGCAAATGAGACCAGAACTCACACACAAGAACATGAACAGGCATAATCCTCTATAAAAACAAACACACAAAGAATAATCACACAAACGATGGGGACCAAGGTCCACACTTAGGCCTAAGCCCAGGCTGACCCAGCCATGTGAAGCCCTTGCTGCCCACAGCTCTGGAGACAGGACAAGGCCCAGGCAATGACTGAGTCCCTGTGATCATAGGTCCTAGTGGAACAAGGTTCTATTGAAGGGACAAGAAGAACGGAGACGAGAAGATGACCCAGCAGAGGCGTGACCACATCAAAGCCCACACTGTCCTGAGTACTGACTGGACACAGGCCCTGTCCATGCTCGTCTCCTCCACCACCTACCTCCTCTTGTTCCTGCCTGGAACAAACTCAGCACAGTAAACATGTGAATTCTGGAACATTCTTAAGTTTTCATTTATTTCCTGTCTTAAATTTTCAGAATTTTCCTCCCTTTTAATTAATCCATCAATCCGACTTCATGGCAAAAATCTGAATAATCAAATTCCTTCTCATATTCTCATTTTCAATAGAGAAGTGAAAAATTGCAGCTCAGAGCAACAGGAAGTTATGTCAGGATGGAGATGTTCCAGCCCCTTCTTTGCTGAAACAGGGAACATCAATAATGACAGGACAGAGGTCAATGTGGGGAAGGGGATCTGGTAGGCAGGGATGGGTTAGGCCTACCACATCTTCACAATATGCTGATAGGCATGTAGACACATTCAGACACCAGTTGCAGAAAGAGAAGTCAGGGGTTCTTGAATCACAAAGTGGGGTATGAACCAATCTTGTATCACTCAGTCCCACACAAGGCAGTGGTCTCACGCTACAAAAGAAAAGAATCATGAACAAATTCAGGTCAGTCACTGTAAGTGCAGACACTCCAAACAGCCCACTGCCATCTCAAAATATCCAAATCCAAAGAATTCCCATAACTCAGTCATGTCCCATCTGCCCCAACCCCCCCATGTCAGGCCCCGCAGGGTCTCACCTTTAGAAGCCATGAGAGTCACATCAGAGCCTTGGGCACTGTCGCTGCCTGGGGAAGAACAAAAACAGGATCTGGTCAGAGCCCTCAGGATAGGAAACTAGGAGAACAGGAATTATGGGTAAGGGGGCTATCCTATGGGCTCCCGTCTACACTATCCCAAGGGTCTCAGGATCAGCCTCCCTCCCTCCATATTTACTTGCAGCTTGAGCGAAGCTCCCTCCTTTCCCACCTGTGGGAAGAAAGCATTCTGTGAGAGATTGGGGAGGGGGCAGGACCAGGTCCTAGAAGAGCCAGCTGGTCCTGGACCCCAGGGAAGTTTCCAGAACTGTGACTGCAGACTCAGGGCAGGATAAGGAAACACAAGAAAAGATGTGCAGAGACTGGACCAACTACCCTCCTAGAAGTCTGTCCTCAGCAGGAACCTTTACCCATGACCTGCAACTACTGGGAATCACGTCTCCATCACCAGAAACATTAAGGTGAGTGATTTGCCTTTCATTTTCACATGTGCTTTACAAAAGGATAATTGTTAGCACACTGGGTCCCAGACTGGGTCAGCACATATGTGGATGGTGTCTTTCATAAGGAGATGGCAAATCACCTACCTGGGACTTGAAACCCTCAGTGGGACAAGAAAAGTAAGACCTCACCCCCTTCCCTACCTGAGCTCTTCTTCCTCCAGATCACATTTCCAGCCACCACAGCTCCAATGTCCAAAGCTCCAAGGAAAACCAGGACAGCAACAATTCCCATGATGGGGGTGGCAGACTGAGAATGGGACTCTGGGAAGGGAAGGGTAGGTGAGGGGCCCTCAACCTCCTGAAGGAGCTCAGCAGGGCTGCAGCTTTCCCTGAGAAGAGGCTCCACCCTCTTTCCTCTCCTTACTCCATCTCAGGGTGAGGGGCTCAGGAAGCCCCTCATGCTCTACACTGCATGTGTATCTCTGCTTCTCTCCAAAGGGCACCACCACGGCCGTCCACTTCTGGAAGGTCCTGTCCCCTGCAGGCCTTATCTCCAAAACTCTATGTCCTGGATCTGGATCTGGTCCTCCCCATCCTCTGCCAGGTCCAGGTGACCTCTGCTGGGTAGAAGCCCAAGGCCCAGCACCTCAGCATAACCTCATGTTCAGATATGGGGTGGTGAGTCATGTGTGTCTTTGGGGGCTCTGAGGGAATGAATCAGAAAATTCAGGAACTCTGTATTACTTCCCATGGGCCACTTGAGCAGTGTTCATGTAACCATCCTGAGGACAGGACAATTGGGGTGGAGGAGGGAGTGCAAAACCCAGACACCAGCCTGGACCAGAGATCTGGGACCATCTTCTATTCCTTGGAAGTTCTAGAATCGGAGTGAGGCAGGCCAGAGTAGGAGGTTCCAGGTGTCTGAGAGGGAGAACAGAGATTTCTAGTTCTGACTTGGATGGAGGCTGAGAAAGTCAGAAAAGCTGGGATCAGACCTCCAAACTCATTGGGTATGGGGCAGAGAACAGGCTTGAGAGAGAAAGTCCCTGGTGGTTCCCAAGGTCGATTCCAGGATCAAAGGAAACTGCTAATCAGTCAGGAATCATCTCTCCTACTATCCCCAGAGAGAGTGGAACTCTTAAGTGTCTCTGAGAGAAAGGAGGGCTACTAAGTGTGTGAGCCCAGGAATCCGTTTACTTTTCTTGTGTGGTTTCAGCTCAGGTGTCCAGGTCATCAGTCACTGAGTGGGTGGTGCAGGCTCTCACCTACAGTCCTAGACAGGCAGGGCTACTTAGGGGTGATTGGAGCATGCACAGGTATCTGGCTGCAGTAGGAGGCTATGTGCTGAGCAAGGTAGGGGGCTGATGGCAGTCCCTGTGTGTCTAGGTGGAAGGCATGTCCCTGTCCCCTAGAGGTCGTAGGTGGGGGGGGTTTGCAACCAGACTTTGGGCACCCAATGCTGTTGGCTGTAAGGACTGGGAGGCGCCACTTATTCTCGGACCCCTGTCATGCGTGGCTAGGTGGAAAGAGTGTAGCTGCCAGTCCTCAGGCCCCTGAGTGCTTGGGTGAGGACCCTGCTTAATGGGCAGGGTGGTGTGAAATGTCATGAATCTGCCACTCGCCCTTGGCTGTTGCAGTTGAAAATAGGCTTCAGGTATATACCCGGTTGTTCTATGCTAATGAAGGCCTACGCTGTTGAAATGGGCCCACACAGGTTTAGGCAGGGGTGAAAGGCGTTTGAAAACCATGAACCCCTTCTGTCTGCACCTAGGCAAAGGGGCAGTGCCTGCCTGAGTTCCCAGTTTAGGGAGTGTGACAATTTTTTAAAGCCTCGAGACTGGTTTGGGCACAATTAGTCCTGAGTATCCAGCTTAGGGGAGTTGGCAGAGTTTTTGTTTGTTTTTTCCCTAAAGCCTCCAGACTGGTTTGGGTGCAATAGCTCCTATTTCTGGCTTAGGAGGAATACTGCCGGACTGGTCTCAGAGATGATCAGGGAGCGGGGTGGGTGAGGGGAAAAGAGGCACTTCTCCACTACCAGTCTCAGAGGGGGAAGGGTTATTCTGATCCCGCACTGTAAGTTGGAAGCTTGCGCTTAGCCTTGGCAGATCCAGCGGCGCTTACCCCTAGCTTCAGAGGCTTTTGTAGACTCTTTGCCACTCGGTCTCTCCCTACATGGTAAAACGCATCACAAGCACTACTGCTTGCCTCAGCCCACGTGCACCAGCCAGTTCAGCAGGCTGGGTGCTGGCTAGCTCAAGTCTGGCCCTTCTTAGTGCTTCTGAACTGTCTCTCCCTCCCCCTGCCACTCAGTCAGTCCAACTCCTCAACTTTGACTTTGATGTTCAGGGCTCCTAGATTGTCATATATAATTGATTCACTTGTTTTTTCAGGTCTTTGTCATAAGAGGGACCACAGGAAGCATAGGACTATTCTGCCACCTTGGACCCGCCTCCTCCACCATCCTTGTTTCTAAGGAGCATTCTGGCTGTATTTCTTCCAAGACAGATTTGCTCGTTCTTTTGACAGTCTATGGTATATTCAATATTCTTCTCCAACACCATAATTCAAAAGTGTCAATTCTTCTTCAGTCTTCCTTATTCATTGTCCAGCTTTCGCATGCTATGAGGCAACTGAAATCACCATGGCTTAGGTCAGGCGCAGCTTACTCTTCAAGGTGACATCTTTGCTTTTTAATACTTTAAAGAGGTCTTTTGCAGCAGATTTGCCCAATGCAATGTGTCTTTTTGATTTCTTAACTGCTGCTTCCATGGGTGTTGATTGTGGATCCAAGTAAAATGAAATCCTTAACAACTAGGCTTTAGTGAGCTGAAATGGACAGGCATTAGCCATTTTGAATGAGACAATCATGTGGTCTACTATACCAGGAATGACAAGCTGAAGAGGAATGGTGTCGCATTCATCATCAAAAAGAGCATTTCAAGATCTATCCTGAAGTACAACACTGTCAGTGATAGGATAATATCCATATGCCTACAAGGAAGACCAGTTAATAGGACACTTATTCAAATTTACACACCAACCACTAATGCCAAAGAAGAGGAAATTGAAGATTTTTACTAACTCCTTCAGTGTGAAATCGATTGAACTTGCAATCAGGATGCATTGCTAATTACTGATGATTGGAATGCAGAAGCGTGAAACAAAGAAGGATTGGTAGTTGGAAAGAATGGCCTTGGTGATTGTCTTAGGCTGGGTTCTCTAGAGAAGCAAAACCAGTAAAGCGTATAAGTATATACAGAGAGAGACTTATATCAAGGAAACAGCTCACACTATTGTAGAGGCTAAAACGTCCCAAGACCATGGATCAATTTCTGCAATTTGCAGAATTTGCAATCTGCAGCCGCAGAAGCTAGTGAACCCAAGGTCGGCAGGTCAGAGAGCAGGGCTCCCGCTCACTGTGAAGGTCAACGAATTCCAAGATCAGCAGACAAGACTGCAAGGGTTCTCCTGATTCAGGTAGCTGCAGGGGTTGGCTAACCCAAGATCAGCAGGTCAGGGAACAGGACTCTTGCCTGCAGGCTGTGAAGATCAACAAATTCCAGGATTGACAGGTAAGCTGCTAGCTCAAGTCTCAAGAACCAGAGGTGAGACAAGAGGCAACTGCTGAGTCTGGAATAAGCCAAAAAAACTTTGGCAAGGCAAGCAGGCAGAAAGTAACGGCAGAAGGCAGAGAGATGAAGCTGAGGGGGCAGTGAGCTGCTGCAGGCCCCGCCCCCACCAGTACCACTCAGCAGATTCCATCATGGGGGTGATCACATATCAGATTTTACAGGGAAGTGATCACAACATTATACAACTGCTAAAACACTGAGAACCATGGCCTAGCCAAGTTGACATACAATCTTAACCATCGCAGTGATAGAAACAACGTCGGCGATCACATTTTAGAATTTGCAAGTCCAATGACTTATTCATTGCAAATACCTTTTTTCAACAACATAAACGGCGACTATATATGTGGACCTCACCAGATGGAAAACACAGGAATCAAATCAACTGTGGAAAGAGACAGTAGAAAAGCTCAATATCATCAGTCAGAACAAGGCCAGGGGCCGACTGCAGAACAAACCATCAATTTCTCATATGCATGTTCAAGTTGAAGCTGAAGAAAATTCAAACAGGTTCATGAGAGCGAAGGTACAACCTTCAGTATGTCCCACTTGAATTTAGAGACCATCTTAAGAGTAGATTTGATGCATTAAACACTAATGGAGAGTTGTGGGATGACATCAAGGACATTGTCTTAGTTATCTAGTGCTGCTATAACAGAAATACCACAAGTGGATGGCTTTAACAAAGAGAAATTTATTCTCTCACAGTGTAGGAGGCTAGAAGTCTAAATCAAGGGTGCCAGTTCCAGGGGAAGGTTTTCTCTCTCTGTCAGCTCTGGGGGAAGGTCTTTGTCATCAATCTTCTCTGGTCAAGGAGCTTCTTGGCACAGGAACCCTGGGTCCAAAGGACGTGCTCTGCTCCCAGCACTGCTTTCTTGGTGGAATGAGATCCTCATGTCTCTCTACTCGCTTCTCTCTTTTATATCTCAAAAGAGACTGACTTAAGACACAACCTAATCTTGTAGATTGAGTCCTACCTCATTAACATAACTTCCACTAATCCTACCCCATTAACCTCATAGAGACAGGATTTACACACATAGTAAAATCACATCAGAAGACAAAATGTTGGACGATCACACAATACTGGGGAATCATGGCCTAGCCAAGTTGATACCCTTTTTGGGGGGACACTATTCAATTCATAACAGACATCATACATGAAGAAAGCAAAAGTTCATTAAAAAGACAGGAAAGAAAGAAAAGGCAAAAATGGATGTTAGAAAAGAATCTGAAACTTGCTCTTGAAAGTTGAGCAGCTGAAGTGAATGCAAGAAATGATGAAGTACTCCACCGGACTGAGTCCAGTACAGCTAGATGGTGCCCGGCTACCACCGCTGAATGCTCTGACCAGGATCACAACAGAGGGTTCTGGACAGAGCTGGAGAAGGATGTAGA